CCCCCCCCCTCCCGCCTCTCTCTCCCTCCCTCTCCCCCGCCCAGTTCTCTCTGCTTCCAGCTGCCATGATGTGAGCAGATTTCCTCTACAGCCCCTTCTGACACGTTTTTGCCTTGGAGTCAGCCGAAAATGGACTGAATATTCTGAAACCATGAGCTAAATATTCCTCTCCTCTTTTAACTTCTGGGTGTCAGATATCTTGTCTCAGAAACAGAAAGCCTGACTGATACACATTTGATAACCACATATTTAGTTTTGTAAGTAGGTGGCAAACTGTTTTCAAATTAGCTGTAGGATTTTTGCCCTTCCACTAGCAATGGAAGAGAGTTCTGGTTACTCTACATCTTCCTCAATAATTTTGGGTTGTGGGGCTGGGGATTTAGCTCAGTGGTTCTGCCGCCTGCTTCACAGCACAAGGACCCAAGTTCGATCCCCAGTACCAATAAATAAATAACTGTGGGTCATTAGTGTTCTGAATTTTGGTTATTCTAGGAGATGTATAATGGTACCTCAATGTTATTTTTGACACATGATGTTGAGTACCATTTTATATGATTTTTTGCCATCCATATATCTTATTTAGTGAAGTGTCAAGATTTCTTTGCCCATTTTTAAATTAAGTGTTCGTTTTCCTATTGTTAAATTTTAAGAGATTTTTGTGTATTTTGGATAATAGTCCTTTATAAGATGTGTTATTTGCAAATATTTACTCTCAGTCTGGGGCTTGTCTTCTCATTCTTTTGACACTGTCTTCTGCATAAAAGAAGTTTTAAAAGTAAGTCTAGATTATCAACTGCTTTTTTCATAGATCACAAACCATGCCATTGGTGTTGTATCTAAAAAGTCATTGTCATAACCAAAACTATTTTAATTTCCCTCAAATTATCTTCAAACAGTTTTATAGTTTTTCATTCATCATTTAGGTCTAGGATCTATTTTCAGATAGGTTTTTTTGTGACATGTGTAAAGCAATACCATAGATTCAAATTTCTGCATGTAGATGTCCATTTTGTTCAGTGTTATTTGTTGAAAAGTATCTTTGCACAGTGCATTGCTTTCACTACCTAATCAAAGATCAGTTGGAAATATTTATGTGATTCTCTGACTAGGACTTCTAATCTGTTCCATTGATTTATTTGTATATTGTTTTGCCAACAGCACACGCTCTTGATTACTAGGGATTACATACAGTAAGGCTTGAAGTCAGATATTGTGAATCCTCTTTTTCTTCTCCTTCCTTATTGGCTTGGCTGTTCAGGATCTTTCTTTGCCTCTCCACATAAATTTTAGAATTAGTTTCTTGATGTCTACAAAATAGTCCTCTGGAATTTCAGCTGGGATTTCATTGACTCTGTTGCTCATGTTAGGAAGAAATGACATCTAGACAATATCAAATCTTTGAATCCATGAACATAGAAGAGCCCTCCATTTTTTAGTTTTTTTTTTATTTCTTTTATCAGTTTTTTTGGTGTTCCTCATATGGATCTTTCACATATTTTGATATATTTATACATAATTATTCATTTTGGGGGTGCTAATGAAAATTGTATTGTATTGTTAAACTCAAATGCCAGTCTGTCCTTGCTGGTATGGAGAGAAGCAATTAACTTTATATCCCACAAATTTGTTAACAGATATTAATTCCAGAAGGTTTTTATCATTGTTTATTCTTTCATATTTTCTCCTTTGATTTTCATGCATTCTGTAGACATAGTTTTATTTTTTCCTTCCCAATCATGTATCTGTTATTTCCTCTTTTTATCAGATTACCTCAGCTTTCAGAAATATGTTGAAAATGAACAATGTGAAGGGAAGTTTGTTCCTGATCTTAGCAAGATGGCTTCCAGTTTCTCAAGATTCATGAATCCCATTGCTGGCTTTCCTAGCCCAGCATCAGGCTCCAGCTCCAGTGAGCTGTGATTCTCTGTATTTTCCAGGGTCAGGTCAGGATCTTACCCTGTGACCTCCCTCTTCTAACACTTCTGAGAAGGCTTGTTCATTTTTCCTTTTGTTTAGTTTTTTTATTTGTTACAATAGAGGCACAGCTTCCAAGATCCTTATAAGTCAAACTCAGATCTAGAAGTCTGACTTTTTATTCCAATGATTTTTCCTAAGATCCTTAACTGTGTCCTACAATAGCCTTATTAAATTTAGTACTTATCAATATTTAAATCTACAATTGAAGATGGTTTTAGTAACTTCCCAATTATTTTTATGAGATCCATTAGACAACATAAAGTTCTCTCTTTTATTTACTATTTAAAATTACAAATTTTGTTTCACTATTATTAAATATAAATGAAAACAAGTTCTCCTTTGCTTTGGGCCAGAATTTCCTATGTTACAACTGTGCAAGAAGAGAAGCCCAGCTCTTCATTTGTCAAAGGTCAAGTTCCTATGGTGAAATCACAGTATATATACTTTCTATCTTTAATTCTATTCTCTTCCAACACTATGAACAATTTTCCAAGAAAAGACTGTAAAGTTTTAATAAAAGTCAAGACTTCACACTTTCTTATAAAAAATATAATCATTTAAAAACCATATTTTTATAAAATGGAATACTACTCAGACATAAAGAATGAGAAATTAGATTCATTCATAGGAAAATAGATACATATTGAGGATATACTCTAAAGTGAAATAAATAAGTCACACATCTGTAAATACCGAATAGTTTCTCTGGTGTGATCCTAATGAGATAATTGACAATATGAAATAGGAAGAAAAGGGCTAAAGGTATAGGGAAAGCGGGAAGGGTAGGGTAAAGGTAATAAGGGAAAAGAAAAAAATATGAGAAAATGAAAAAATGGAAATAAAGTGTTTATAAATAGGGAAGGGAGGAGGGGGTGAAGGGGAGGGCAGGGACAAGGGGGGAAAAAATGAGAACCAAGACCTATCATGTAAAGGTACAAGATCCTAATAATGAATGTAAATGTACTGTATATCTAAAATATACCAATAAACTCAATTAAAAAAATAAAATAAAAACCATATTTTTGTGTGTGCTTGAAAGTAATGCTATTCCATTATTCCATGCAAGAACAATACTTAATGGTGAATAACATCTGAAGGCTTAATTATTGTCTATAAATTTTCTTTAAAAAAAGAAAAATAAAATAAAACAGGTGATAGTTCAATAGCATTTTGGGAAACACAAACGGGAACATCTTCAAAAAGTTTGACCTAGTCACCTGTGAAAGGACCTCCTGTAAATGTTGCAGTCAGAGCTCCTGGAATACACTAACTATATCAGAAAAGACAAGGGCTGGGATTTAGCTTAGTGGTACTGCTGCCTGCCTTGCAAGCAGAAGGTCCCAAGTTTGAGCCCTAGAACAAAAAAAAAAAAAAAAAGAAAAGAGAAGCAGCATTCTCTAGAGTCACCATGTACCTATATATGGTTAAAAGATGAAATCCACAGCAAGATTCATGTACTTAGAAGCCTACTCTGAAAGAGAGGTGCACCAGCCAACCTGTCTTTTCCAAGACAGCCAGGATCCCCTTCATCCTCAGGTTAACACCTCAGTGAGAATTACAGGCACTTGTTTTTGTCCATTCTCTTGGATCTGAACATTGTCCTCTTTTTAAATGTGCTCAAGGGAAGACTTCAGAGACAGTAAGATTTCTCTGCTCCAAGGATAATATTTTTAAAGGGTTTCTTTCTGTTGGTTTTGGATACCGAACCCTTTCTAATATCAAAAATCCTTGCTTCTAGTTTCTTTCTAAAAAGTAGTGAATTATGTTAACAGTCTGCAGAGAAATATCCCCGATTCTGTATTAATGTTTTAAATCAGTATTAATGTTAAATCAGTTATTAATGTACCTCACCTTAAACCAATGCTTTTCTTTTTTTTTTCCACTGAAGGGGTCATTTTTGAGACACGGCCTCATTGTAGTTCAGGCTGGCCTTGGACTCACCATGGAGCCCAGGCTGGCCTCGAATTCATCTAGGCCCACCAAGTGCTGGCATTACAAGGGTGCCGCACCACCCCACTCAGACCAGTGTTTCTTAACTGTTTTTCCATCACTGACCCCATAGAGAGACTTTAGGTCTTTCTTTTTCCTCATTGCAACCCCCCCTCCTCTATGACACTTTGGGAAGCACGCGGTCTCTCTGTGCATGTACTGTGGGCCTTGGAGCCAAGATTGGGCACAACTGAATATCAAACGTCTCTTGTCACCCTCAAGAGTCAGTCCTCCTCCTTGGAGGTTTGGTACATCAACTCTGCTGGGACACATGCTCTGGATGTCAAGGCGGCCCCATGCAAGAATCATGAAGTACTTTACAAGGTGGCTGCCTCCAGGGTCTTTCTTGTAAGAGGCCAACCTCAGACTGACCTGTACCCTAGAAAGCACAATGGAGCTGTGTCTCCATCTTTGCACAGTCAACTGCCCTCCTCTGTTAATTCTGCAAGGACTAGAATGACTGTTAAGGAAAATCAGGGAGCGTCCTCCCTGTTCACTATCCAGGATTCTACGTTACTATTGAGAATTCTGTATAACTTGATCCTCAGAGGCTGTGGCCCCACCCAAAGCAGGAAACAAACCTGTGCTGGAGGATGATTTGAGGTCGGACCGCTAGTCCTGGCCCACTAAACTCACGAATGCTCCCCTAAGAGGGCGAAGCATATGACAAAGTCAGCGGGAAATATTTCATCTTAGGTAGATGTGTGGCTATTGATCTGATACACTAATTAAAACTGAAAGTGTTCAGGGAAACATAACTTGTTTCTGCCCTTTCCACCAGACACCGCCTCGTGACTTTCATGCCACCCGCATCTTTCATTCACTCTGTTTGCCTGGAAATCATACAACCTTGTGGTTTCTTCTGTCAAACTAAAGACTGCAACACAGTCAACAGTGAAGGGTCCTGCTGAGGTGACCTGAGGTCACCAGGGCTTCTCTCATGCCCAAAGCTCTGGGAGCAACTATGATATGATAGAAAGATCACTTCTGGCTCTGCCCCAGGGGATCTGAGAACCACAGCATCACCATATCGATATTCTAAAACAAGAACAATCACACTCATCCCATACCTACAAAGAAGGCAAGAAAAAGATGTGTACAAAGAGAATTAGATTTTTATCTGCAACCTTAGTCAATGGTGTCAAGAGTCATGTTTTGTGTTTCACTTCCCCCCAGGTACCTCAAAACTAGATTTCAGCTATAAAATTTAATTCTAACTTCCGCACTCGTCATTAAAAACCATCTGGAAGATGCCCTACCATTCTGGCACATACAGATCTGTCACATTCCTTCTTCCTGCGCCTCCATGCTCTTTCCAAAGTTGTAAAATCAGAATAAACTAGTGACGCACCCACAACGATCCAGAAGAACCTTTCTGCTGTGATCCTCCTCAACCTCTTCCACTCCCACAGAAGCACTGCCCAATCATTTTCATCAACTATCACCTTGTACAAATTAATTCAGCGGCTCGTGTAGGAGGAGAATTTGACTCCTTGGGACTCTATGCATTTCAGTTATCAAGGGTTAATGGAAGTGGTTTTGTTTCTTGAAAGAAGAAGAACTGAGTGGAATTCCCACCATGGTAGAACTTCACTATTAGATATTAATGCTCTACAGACCCAGTGTGAATTGACTGATTTTATAATTTAGCAATTATAATGTGAACACTCAAAACTATATCCCAAGAGTTACTATACTGAGCTTAGTTCAGTGAGATGATGTGGCTGAGTTTTAATTGCTGTGAATTTGGAATGGGGACATATATTTGTTAGACATAAAATTTCACTGATGGGTAAATTGCCTCCGTAATAGGATCCTGCCTTCTTCCAGCCTTCTCTGACCCTCTGTTGCAGGGGATCCCAATTAGACTGGGAAAGCTACTGAGATGAGCCAAAGGGTCAGGGGAAATGAGGGAGAAGTGAGACAAAAAAGGAACAAGAAAGAAAGACAGAGGAAACTGGAAGCACTTCCCATACTTCACCCAGAGGGGATCTTTTGCCAGACATTGAATTTCACTCCAAGTACTTTTAGCAAGTATGGGTCCTCTTCACTTGGTACCTCAAGGGATTTCTTTTGGAATTTTAAAATACAGTTGCTAGTGCAGAATTTCACAGCTTTGCTACAAACAGGAATCTGATATTTATGATTAGCACTTTTACAGGAGCTCTAGGCCACAGATGATCACAAGCAAAGAAAAAACAGTCCCAGAGCTGCAAGTGCCTCGCGCTGCCCTTAAGCTGTGGTTCCCATCTGGACCACACATTTGGCACCAATAAGTACAGGTACCTTGTTACAGGCATAGTGTTTCTCTTCCTTAAATCAGAAGTCTCTTGAAGGCAGGGCCTGTATTTTATTCATTTACATATTCCTCACAGGGCCCATAAGACTTTATAATAAGTACATAATAAATATTTTATAAGCTGTTAACTACTAGTACATTTTACAGCGATGTACAGGGAGTCGGAGATACCCATGTCATCTCAACCAAGATACTTACTAGGAAGCCCTTTGACAGGCTTCTGTTGATGTCACTATAAAAGACAGATGTTATTTAAGTATAACCACCCAAACACAAAAGAATAAGATGATTTGGGGTAAAATGAGGTGGTGAGAAGGAAAGAAGCAAGAGAGATAGAAAATAACATAAGATTGTTTCTCACCACTTCCTTCTAGGCTCTCTGCCCCAACCACGCACCTGGAAGCTGACATTTCCCTCAGGATCTCTGATCCTGGAAAGCGCTGATATCTGACACAAACCAGGAAAGGAGCAGAAACATAGGCCCCCCCACCCACCCTCTTTTCAGTTATTGCTGACAGGAAATCTCTTTAATGTCCTATTTGATGTCCGTTGACCCAAATGGACTCCGGTGTAGCTTAAAGAAGTACATTTGCCTCCAGAGCTATTGCCTTTGTTTATCTCTCCTTCTTCCCAGGTTTGAATGACTGGGAGAGCAACACCGCAGCTTGATATGGTAAACTTAATGGCTGACTGAAGACTTGAAAGGCAGCAGGATCCTGACAGTTGTAGGAATGCAGATGTAGGTGGAAACTCTCTCCTGGGGCTTCAGGTAATGTTCACTCAGGGTTCCGTGAAGGTTTAGGCCAGTGCTGGAGGCAGATTAGTGAAAACGTATCTGAAAATTGAAATAGCTGTGTGTTTCCTATATCTTTAAAAATACGGATATTTTAAAAAGCCTTGACTACAAGCTAAGAGGCTATGGGAGGAGGTGAGTCTCTTCTCTTGCTTTCAATGTGTCAACTTAAAAATATGCACCTGTATCTTTTGATTAAAACACAAGGGGAATATAGCTTTTCTTCCCTTGGCAAAGGCAAGGTAAAAATGAAACAAAGTTAAAACCCCTGACACTCTGTGTTTTATCACAGGGCCCATCTGGTGTTGATGGCAGAACATGATGCCCAGGGACCAAGGAGGCAGAAGTCTCTAGTCTGGAGTTGGCAGGGGCCCAGAGGAACATCCCTCAGGCAGCTGTGCACCCCAAGGCTGGGTATCACAAATGGCAAGCACCCCGTCTATAGAGCCTTAGAGATGCCAACCGCTGTAGTTCTATTCTGATCAGCTCTTGAGTTCCACACACCGAGAAGGGAAGGTTTACTAAGACCAACACTCAAAGACAGGAGTGGGGAGCAAGACTGCATGAGGTTTCTAGTTGCCACCTCAGCAAAGCCCAAAGAGATGGAGGGGGAATATCTAAATTGAGCTCTGGGGACTAGAGAAAAGGTTTTGCATTTCTTTTAGAAATACTGAACACCCATCTCAAATGATCCCAGCTAATGTCATAGATAGCTTTGTATGGATCTGTAAAGAAATTAAATTTGCATACAAAGGTGAAAATGAATGTATCTTATGACAAGATGGTATGCTTTAAGAAATCCCAGTAAAAGAGGCATTGGTGTTTTGCATTCAGTAGGCAACTCTGGTCCAGTGCTCCGACACTAGTCTTTCATGACATACTGAAATTACTCTAAGCCGCCCACCTTGCCCCCTGTAAGTCTAATCAACCCTAATGACTACCATTTTAATAAACATTTGCTAACAGAAACTTCCAAGATCACAGTACTGGTGTGCCTAAAACTAATTAAAATTTTATGTTGAGTTGAGCAGGAGTTCACTGCGGGCACTTTTAGAGTAAAGACAAAGTACAAGTTTCTTGCATGTGCCTTAACTCATTCTTTTAAAAGGAATGTCCTAAAGGAAACTCAATGCCAGGGGTAACTCTATACAGGCAGAATTTAACTTTAATGTTTATATTTTATATCTTGGAAAGGCTTAACAAATTCTGATTGAGGTCAGTAAAATATACAGGTATAGGCAAGGGCCACCGAAGAAAAGAAACCATGAAAACAGTAATTCTTGGTTTCTTATGCCTTTGTGATATTCGGTGACCCTGAAGTTTTTATTACCTTGTAATAACAGTAATATTGAGCACTTCAGGGCTGGGGATTTAGCTCAGTGGTGCTTCCTCCTGCCTTGTAAGTACAAGGTCCCAAGTCAATCCCCAGTACAAAAAAGAAAAAAACAAACAAAAATATTGAGCAATATAAAGAAAGTGAATTTTTCATATACCTTATATGTACAGAGCATTTATTTTCAGGGATGCTAACAACCCACTCATAGCCACTGTGGTGGGCTACATAAGCACCATCATGCTCCTACTGTCCTGTATCTACACTCTTCACCATGACTTTGTTTCTCCCACTCACTATGACTCTATCCTGCCAGCTGAGGACATGCAAGATCACCTGGCAGCCAGCAAACTCCAGACTCATGAAGATCCTCAGGCAAGAAGAGCAGAGCCAGTTACCTGCATCCAACACACAAAAGACAGAAGCTTGCTGGCACAGGTGACCGGGCATGATGGTTATTTGTCTTGTTTGGTTTGGTTTTGGTGCTAGAAATTGAACAGGACCTCATGGATTCTCAGCTGCATTCTCCATTCCTAAGATCAAAGTTACTTGTCACGCTGCAGTATGGCAGCAATAAATAAGTAAAATAGCTGAAATGACTCCCATCGCCAAATAAATATTATCTTTTCAGCACACTCAATTTTCTTGCCTCCATGCCCTACTCAAAAATTCCCTCCTAAATAAAATCCATCTAATAATGGATGTAGCTTTCAGCTCCTCCTAAACCTAGGGGGGGAAAAAATCACACAACTACTCAGGTGGGGGCCCCTGGAGGCTGGTAGCACCACATTTCAGCCACTCTCTCACACAGCTGAGGGACTCCACTCCTTGTCTCCGATGAGACCCTATCCCACTCGGAGAGCTACTGCAAACTTCTCTGGTGCTCCTTGAGCTCCCAGGTGCCTCACTAGGACCATCTTCATTCAGAGATACCTCTGGATCCTTTCTTCCTTATAACTGCAACCGAACATAGAGATCCATTTACCCACAGTCCAATTTGGCGAAATGGCTTACTCAGGAAAACACAGTCAGTTCACAAGACATTGTAAAATAACTATAATCCTTCACTTGCATCTGTATGTAAATAGGTAACCCAAACACATGACTTACCTCAGTTATATCTACTTTCCATTAAAGCAAAACCAAAAAAACAGAAATTTTCACTAACCTCCCCAAATTTCTTCCATCCATACTAAACAACTTGTTCCTGCAGCTCTTTCTGCCTATTTGTGAAAAACTTATAATCTTGGGCCCAAAACCAGACCTGCTGAATCCAAAGTTCTACGGAAGAGGCCCCCACAATCCGTGTAGTTATCATAATTGAGTGAGTTTGGCAAACGATGCTGACTTGAACTGTTGTTCTCAGCTTGTTTGCATACTGGGGTCTCTTGGGAAGCTTTAAGAAGTCCCCACTCCTGCGCATGCACCCTGCTTCATGTTCCAATTTAATTGGAATGGATCAAGGCTGGGGCAGCTGCACCATTAAGGGCTCCCTGGGCGATTCTAATGTGTTATAGAGCTTGAGAGCCAGTGGTTTTGTGAAATACCACATATGCATGGACCAGGTGTGCAAGGAAACACTCCAGGCAAACCTGAGGGGGATGGGGTTAGGAGTGATTACAAAAAGCAAAATTTTTTTTTTTTTGGTAGCGGGGATCCAACGTAGGTCCTTGCACTTTCGGGGCAGGAGGCTGAACCACTGAGCTAAATCCCCTGCCCTACAAAAAGCAACAAACTCGCATATGCAAATATATATCCCCCATGGCAGTCCACCTTCAAGCAAATACAATGGAGGTTATTTCCCTTCAAACCTGGAAAATAAATGAAGATCTGGGGTTTCTTCTTGCATCTAGAATAATCCTCCAAATTGGGGGTATTGGGGGAAGAAGGGAGAGGAAAGAGAATAAAGGAGATAAATAGTGCTATATATCCTAAGAAATCTACTGGGCACAGATAGGAGAGACATCTCTCCTAGAATTAGAATTCATTATTTTAATATCAATTTAAACAAACACCTCCAAACTGCACTTTTGCTTACCCAGTGTACATAGACAATGTAGCCTTTTTGTTTACTTGTTTTCCAGAATACACCTAATTTTCCACATAAGCCTTTACACTGCAGAGGGGTGGACTGAGCAGGTAGGATCTATTCAGACACATCTGACACATTCAGAATGACTCAGCAGACAAAGCACTCCTTCTGATAATTAATCTCTTCATTAAGATCGCTTTTTCAATATCCCACCCTTGTCTCACAAGGTCCTTGGGATGCTGGAGGAGAAGGTGGTGCAGAATCCATGCCTGTCCCCTAGATCCTTTGATAATACGGCCTACTCTGGTCTGAATCTACTCATCTGGCCACTAAGGTGAGTGGCTTTGTGCCATGTGCCCTTGAAGAGTGACATTCTGGCTTCGGTGGGTGGAGTCCACTTTCCCACCCCTCAGCCTTCGTGTTGGAGTTCCTCCCTACCATATGGACCAGCGTTCAGGTCCCATTCTCCCTGCACACTCAAGGCCACATCAGTGAGTACACAGAAATGCCCTAATTCCTTGCACATGGTGCACTGGCCCCGAACCCACAGTGCCCTCTGCTTCCGTGCTTCTAACTCACACCTGGGTAGTCCCAAAGGCCAAGGTATTCTCTGGCACCACTGCCCTTCAACACCCATCCACTCAGCTGGTATGTTAGGGCTCCTTCATTTGTACATGGATGTTTCCAAGGGGTTCCCCTTTCTTGTCTTCACCACCCACCACTTGCTGAAGTAACAGGGCTTCTTCTAACTCTCCCTCCCTTTTTTCTCTTCCTGTCTTGTCTTTAAAACAGAAATTGTGCAAGGAGAGAAACTGGTTTAAACATAAAAGAACATAAATCATGAACTATCTCAAAATACCATTTTTGCCATTCTAGCTTTTATCTTAGTTGTCTGAGAGGAAAAATATGTGCAACAAATATAGTTGCACTTTCCCTATGTTAATTGTTGTCCAGCTAAATAATTTGCCGAGGCCCCATGTAAAATGAATGGGGACCCCTTGTTATGTCATTCAAGACAGTGAAGGAGAGCACTGAGCTCAGCAGACCTGCCAAAGCTAATGGGGAAGGGGGAAAAGCAAAAGAACCAACCTGTAGAATTTTACATATGACTAATACTCAGATGCTAGAGAGAAAGTGCTCCATGTTATATAACACAATTGTCTTTACTTTTCTTTTGAAGATTTCACTCAAAAGCAGTCATTTAGGCTCCAAGTACTTCAAGTCTCCTGCCATATACTTCTAATTAAAGGAATGCTCTCCAAGCTGATCAAAATACAAAACAGAATTGTTTGCCTCTTATCCTTTCCTCTTTCCTTTTGGTAGTGGGAATAAAGAATATGAACTTTAGCATACCTTCACTCTATCCCCCAGCTAAATATAAGGCTAACAATGATTCTCCTCTATGGAGAATGGTGTTGAACTCTCCAAATCTTCTCTAAACATAACAACTCCTCAAATCATAGAGCAAATGGTAGCTTAATAAAAATGAGAATTTTAACAACTTGCACCACAATCCATTCAAACTGCATGTGTCTTTAAAAACCACTTACTTCCTTCAAAGCAGGCTTAAATATTTTGGGGGGTGGGCATGGAGGATGAAACTCAGGTCCTTGTGCTTGCAATGCAGGCAGCAGAACCACCGAGCTAAATCTCCGGCCCAGGCTTAAATATTTTTTAATGTTGTTGTAGTTACTATTCTGCTGAGAGTGTCTTCCAATCAGAATAAATTATAGGAAGATAAATTCACACTATAGTGCAAGAGAACATTAAGCTATTAAAACAACATAACTGTTTTTAATTATGTCAACAGTATATTTTGGGGAGAATCTAACATTATTAAGTATGTATGAATGATTGGAATATGAAGTATACAGGGATAGTTTGGGGTTTTTTTAGCTATCACAAATCTACGAGCAGTTGCTTCGTTGGGGTATAAACTTTAACACAGAGCAGGTTTATAAATGTTCACATTAAAGATAATGAGATTGGACAAACTAGTATCAGAGGAGCAAAGTGCTCATTTGTTATCTGATCAGCACATTGCACGTATGGAATAGGACACCGCGCCAATCACTGAGAAGATGGAATCAATCAGATGTCACCACCGGACACATGGCAAGGGCCACAGCAGTAAGCCGTGATGCTGACAGCAGGGTCTGCGTATATGGAGTCGCGAGAGTTTTATGCCTTCACGGGTAGCATGTTCCCAACACCTACAAAGGAGGCACTGTTATTTTTACTATTAAGTGTATTGGTACATTTTAGGTATACATTACGGTCACATTCATCCCTGGGAATTTGTACCTGTATGTGGTACATCTTAGTTCATGTTTTTTCCCCATTCCCTTTTCCTCCCTCCCACTCCCTTCACCCCTCCCTATTTACTAAAAAACTTTGCCTCCATTTCTTCCTTCTCATATTTTTTCTTACTCTTCTTCCCCCACCCCCACTTCCCTTCCCCTTTGGGCCTTCTCTTCTTATTCCACATTATCTATTGTACATTTTGGTCCTTATTTACCCTTTCAGTTTCTCACACCAGAGAAACTGCTGGTATTTAAACACGAGTGTACTACTTGTTCCACTTAAGCATATGGAGGAGGCAATATTATTACATTTGCTGCAAAGGCGAGGAAACTGAGGTGCAGAGAGGTTGATCACACAGCCAGACTGAAAAAGGCGTGGCTCAAAAGTTTTCATTCTCATCCACATGCTACCTGTCTCTCATAATACAGCAAAAGATAAATCCAAATGTCATTCCAATATTGCATAACAGGATTGATAGATGGAAACAAGCAGTTGGATCTTGTGCAAAGGAAAAAGGGGTCCAGAAAAGTTACTGGAGTGAAGAGGGAAGAGAAAGTACAAAGACTTAAGATGCATCACTTCCACTTACCAAATACCCACAATAAACGTAAACATTATCTATTCATAAACATGAACTAAAAATAATAATAACAATAAGAATAAAAATGGGGACGGGGCGTAAGAGAAGGAGGGACTGTGGTGGTGGGAAGGAGGAAGGGATTAAAAAGGAATCAAGTTGTGTTTATGTATATGAATTACTCCCTAAAATCAATATAAACTTCATGTACTGCAAACGTGTTCTAATGAAATTAACAAAAATTTACCATGTCTCCTTAAAATTCACTGGGTTTAAACTCTTTATTATTTCATTTGGGGCCAATAGGATGGGCTTAAAATACCAGTCAGATGTCTAAGCAATCATAGGTAACAAGAGGACTACGGCATTAATAATCTGGTTCTTTACGTTATCTTCTAACGATCAACAACAGTGAGTTTGCAAACGCTATGGCATAACTTCATTTTATAAACATGTCTCTTTCAAAGCACTTTGAGCCATTCTATGATAACTTAAACAAACTGGCAAGAATAAATGCCTAGAAGTTTTAATTAGCTATTTTTACGTGCAATGACCAATGATTCGTTTCCTTCAGCGACTCACCAGCTCGCACATTTTCAACCAGGTGCTAAAATGCACAGGTGAACTCCTAGGCTGCTCTCATTTTCCGAGTTGGGGATCAATCAAGTCACCCTGAGAATTGGGGTCAGCTGCTTTTCTAGGGATTTAAGTCATGACAGAGAAATACCCAGTGTAAGGCAATTAAGCCTGACCAGTCATGATGGCCATCTAATGAGCCTCCGTGTGGCAGAAGGGAGTTCACTCTACCTGTCTCAAATAGGTTGTGATGTGCCATAGAGCTGGCGTAATAAATAATTTAAGCACTGAATGCTGCTGCAGGAAGGCTTCCTGCTGACTGTGTGGTACCTGACTGTACCGTCACGAGCTGGCCCACTGCCTGGAAACCAAGGGACGGACACTGCGCCTCTTTCTATGCGAAAGAGTGAGAACAGCAGTTGGAGGGTATTAGTGCTCCTACTTAACACCCATTTATTGGGCGCCATGGACAGGCCCTGTCTCCTGTGTCAGGCACCTAGAAGGCATGGCCCTGAGATTGAATTAATGGTGAGAAAGGAGGATGTCCCATAATTACACAAGAAATCACATGCTCTGCCATTTAGCCAGCAAAGCTGAGCGGTTTCTGTTGATGGTAAATTAATCCAGTGGGGATTGGGAGACTATTTCTGCACAAAAAGATTTCCTTATTCATGAGAATAATTGGATATTGAAAAAACCATCATGTATAGTATCTTGATTTGAAACTGTCAAGTGATATGCGAAGCCCCCTCCCTCACCACAGCCACCTCCTCCTCCTCCT